CCTCATGACTCTGCAGTACCTAATCAGATTCCATTCTTTGAAATAACAGTAACAGAGCTTCTCAGCCAAAGCCAGGGGCTGTCTAATGACTTCTCCATTTGGGGATAGATTTGGATGAGGACACTTGGCCTCTCCGAGTTTCCCCTCCTCAGGAGCGCTAGAAAAGACCAAAATGAGATGACCTACCAGAACCGGGGTGGGCAGGTTGTCTTTATCACACACATCCATGAGGGAAACTCCAAAGAGCTGTCCTGGCTTTGCAGAAGGTGGGACTCTGCACTGGTTCCCCTGGCAAGTTCTGGAGCCCTTCTGAAAGGCCCAGGTTCCTAAGGCACGCATTTTAACTCTCTTCTGGCCGGAGTCTAAGGAAGAAGTGAGAGTACTAGTAGTCTTAGTTGTTCTTTCATTCGCTTAACCTTCTTTTTTGCTTTTCTATTTTTTTTTTTTTTTTTTACATTTTATGTATTTTTTGACAGAGAGAGAGAGAGACAGCGAGAGAGGGAACACAAGCAGGGGGACGGGGAGAGGGAGAAGCAGGCTGCCCTTGGAGCAGGGAGCCCAATGCAGGCCTCGATCCCAGGGCCCCTGGATCATGACCTGAGCCGAAGGCAGACGCTTAACGACTGAGCCACCCAGGTGCCCCAGACTCATCTTAAATCCTGATGACTTAAATTATCCTAAAGATTTCCTGAATGAAATGTGGTAAACGTCATAAAACCAAGAAATGTCAAAAATATGGAGGGATTGATGATACGTGTCTCCAGGTTCTGAATGGAATGTCGACCTTCTAAGGTGGACTGCTGCAGGTTAGTTCTGATGAGCTAGGCTCAAATAATACTAGCTCTAGTCTCAGGGACACTTCTCCTAGTCCTATTAATGGTTTTTTTTTTTTTTTTGAAATTTATTTTACATGCATCCACTTATTTAATGTTTACAACAATTCTAAGATTTAGACAGTATTTTTATCCACATTTTAGAGATGAATAAACTGATACTGAGCTAGAATAACTGGCCAAAGATAATATAGCTGGAAAACGGGGGCACAGGAATTTAGATTCTGGAGAGGTCGTTTGACATCGAGTCAAGTCCTTTTTTCTCAATGATGCCAGTTCTTTTCAACCCGTTTCAAAGGGCACTGGAAATCTATGGTGCCTCAAGAGCCCCTGAGCAAAAAGAGGAGGGAGGGGAAGAAAGGCCCCTCGCTCTGGCTTCAACCAGAGCACCTCTACTACCCATAGTTATATATATTATGTTTATATATTTATATAGTGTAAGTATCCAATTATATGTATAAATACATTTATATGTATGATGTTTTCTCTATCTATCTATACAGAGATAGATAGATATTTAGCACCCATTTAGAATTTTGTTAGAAAAAATTCCCAAACACGGTAGCATACCATGATGAGTTCTAATGCCGTTATGATCTACACTAGAAACTTCTTGAAATCAGAGGTCTCATCTTATCCTTTCTTTGGTCTCACAACAGTGTGGAACCTCCCTTGACCTGTGAGCCAGCCTTCGGAAGAAGGAGCAGATGGAAATCATTGCCCTGGCGATGCTCTGGGCTCCAGAACAGCGCTGTCTAAGCATCTCCCATGACCCCTGGCAACCTTGCTGTCTGCTTCACACTAAAGCCAATTAAATTATTCACAGTACCTGCAGCCTTCTCGCTGTTATCAAGACTCATTGAGTTCTCTCCCAAGAGGGAAGTGATGTCTTCTCCAAATATCCTGAGGCAATTTTCAATGAGAAATTGTACAAGAGAAATCTGCAACACAAAAAGATAAAAATGGGGTGCTCTTTTTCATAGGGCATAGTTATAAATCACATTTTGTGTATCGACCTTGGACCTAAGAAAAAATGTGAAAGACTTCCCAGAAAAATTCAGAGTTGATAAAAATACACAGAAACCAGGGGCTCCTGGGTGGCTCAGTCGGTTAAGCATCTGCCTTCGGCTCAGGTCATGATCACAGGGTCCTGGGATCCAGCCCTACATCGGGCTCCCTGCTCCGCGGGAAGCCTGCTGCTCCCTCTCCTAAACCCTCTGCTTGTATTCCCTCTCTCGCTGGGTCTCTCTCTGTCAAGTAAATAATTAAAATCTTAAAAAATGGAAACATAGAAACCAGAGTTCTCTAAGAAATAACTTAGAAAGAGTGATACTTTCCCATGTACTTTGGGTACAGATTTTAAAATAGTGCTCATCAGTGGGCTAAGGTTATAATGCGTGGCCTAGTTTAATAGCTAACATTTTGGAATCAGTGGCTACGTCTTTTAGACTAGGATAAATTGCAGGGTGCCTCAGTTGAGCGTCTGACTCTTGATTTTGGCTCAGCTCATGATCTCATGGTGGTGAGATCAAGCCCCACAGGGAGCCAAAATTGGGCTCCGTGCTCTGTGGGGAATCTGCTTGGGCTTCTCCCTCTCCCTCTCCCTCTCCTTCTGCCCCTGCCCCGCTCATGCTCTCTCTTTCCCTCTCTCAATAAATACACATCAAAAAGACAAATACATAAATACATACATACACACATATATATATACATAAAACTAGGATAATTTTCAAAGTAGCCTGCCTTATGAAAGTTGACTTATTTCTTGATTTTAAATTTTGTTTCCAGTTTTATTGAGTTGTAACTGATCTATAACATCTTATTAAAATTTATAAAGTAGGAGCAAAAACTTAAGAAAACCGTTTCTTAAATGAAGAAGTACCTTAAAGTTGGGAAGCAGAGATTTTTGTGGGGTTGTGTGGGAAAACCCACAGATCTGGAGAGAAAACGTATCTATCTGTCCGTCTAACTTCAGTCCCTTCCCATGCATTGCTTTGCCTCCTGCTGGCTCTCTGTGTGAGCTTGGGGAAGACCTGTCATTTTATGAGGATGTTTCGGAATCTTTTACTAGTTGCGGTATGACGTAGCAGAGGTGAAATAGCAGCCGAGTGTTTTTCGAAGTGAGCCACAATGTGCAGAGGAAGGCCAGTGTGTTTGGAGCCATGGGTGCTCATATTGCCCAAGCCACCTAGGAGGTGCCAGTGGTGACCGGAGGAGCTGGGTGTTGTCGCCATCGTGTAGTGAGGAAACCACGTCTTTGGCCAAGGTGACAAGTCCCTGAAGGACGAGGCTGAGAGGTGAACCTTGCCTTGTGGAGCTCCAAGGCCCAGGTCCTTTTCTATCGTGTCCCACGACTCTTCTCTGTCTTGTTTAGTCAGTCTAGTGTTTAGTGTCCTGGATGGGGAAGACGTGACTCAACTGCTCCGAGTCTCCCGTTTAACGACACCCCTTCCCAGACCCCACCACAGTAGGAATAAGAACTCTGCCACTCCACAGGGGCCTAATGAGAAGGTGCACTTCACAAAGTTCCATCCATCAGAGTTACTGCTGCACATTTCCGGTTCAAAGTAGGGATTCTACCCCCCGGGGGGACAAAAATGAGAGCTCTCATTACCTTTTTGATGAAGTTGCCTTCCAGTTCCAAGCTGCAGGAATTAGGTGGACAAAGAATGCTTGGGGCTATACACAGTGATAAATTATAAGCTGTCATCTGATTGGATGAGGAATGTTGCTCAATGTTGTATAACACTCCAAAAAGGTATCGCACGAGAACGACATTTGCTCTTGGCAGCTGCGCTAAAAGCCTAAGGTCAGAAAAATACACTTTGAAATTAGGCAAGTCACTCCACGTAGGAGGTTGGAAGTACAGAGACAGGGACCAGGATACATCCTTGTATATCTAGTAGACAACCCGCTGTAGCAGAGTTCCAGGCGTGAATGTATACAAAATTGTTTCACTGAATTCAGTTCCTGAGCCAGATAAAAACTTCTCCGGTTAGGTAAATGTTTGACAGACTATGAAGGGCATACCCCTGGCAGCCGATGCTCTAGCATCTCTCTTGGACCAATGGATTTCGTCTACCAGTTTCATGTATCCAGAAGGTGTAAAACGGCCAAGGATTCCACATTAGTAAGGTCAGGAGATGAACAATAATAGCCCTAAAGAGTGCCTCTATTCTGAAGCTGGCCCCCATGGGTGGGAAGAATTGAAACTCTTTGGCATTGGTCAGGAGTTTAGTGGGCAAAGCTGCAAAACGTAAGCCAGTATTTTCCTAATCGTATGTTGGCTGTGTTCTGGAGATGGGACCCGAGGAGAGTCATCGTTGCATCATTACCTCTGGGCTGCGGTTATCTTCTCCTCTTCGCTCCCTTGATCAATAACACCGAGCCATTGGTCATAGAGATCGGATGAAAATATACTTCCTGGGATATTTCTAAGAAAATCCTTATGGAGATAAAGAAATATGTATAGCTATTATAGAAAATATGTACTGGAAATATTACAGAGAAAATATGTAGTTAAAAATTTCAGTTCAGCCCCCACTTCCTTCACAGATACCCAAACTGTGACCCACAGTCAAGAGCTCGGCTCTGCCGCTCCATTGACTTGCACACGCAGAAGCAGGTGCTTGGATTTTCTCCCACTAAAACTTAGAAGCATAAAAGCAGAGCTTAGGCTGTGGTGGAAATGAAGAGAAAGCTCCCTTCTGTCATCTGGAACTTATTTTTTTGCGTGTGTATTTTTGTGCAAAGTACCACAAACTGACAGGGTCTGGCTATAGACCATCCTAAATCCTGTTAGTTTCTTGGACAGAAATACACATGCCCATTTTGCTTGTTTTAGACACAGTGCTAGCTCTTAATTCTAGCAAGAAAAGTTCTGAAGCAAACAAAACACAAACAGGTGTGCTCTTGCACACATATTAGGAAAGAACCAGGTCTTCTGATTTGGGGTATGTGTGCTCCCTGGAAGAAAGCTACTCTCATAATTGCTTCATTCTTCCTTTTCTTAACTGTCCAAAAGTCGAGAGTCTAATGGCAGACTCATTGTGGTCCTGAGGATACATTCATTCCTAGTTTAGGCCAATTCTCCAGTTAGTTTGACACGATATTATCAAGGCCAAGGGTGCAGAGTCTGATTCTCCACCAAGATCAGTCAACTTTAGGAAGAGAAAACTTTAGAAATGTCTAAGCACTGTACCCACAAGTGCTCACCCTCTTCCTAGTCGGTGCTTACAACACGGAATTAGGAAAGAACCTACTGCCTCTTGCTAGAGAATCAATTCCCTGCGGGCACCTGACAGAGGGCAACACTCATCTTGCTACCTAGTGTATCATCATTCTTCTCCTGCCTCGCGATGCCTATATGTATATTACTAGTGGATATTGCTATGGCCCCAGCGTAGGAGTGGTTACCTAAGTCATTTCTGAACCATTGCTTTTCTCGTATCGTCGAACATTAATGGGGGACAAGGAAAGACCAAATGTGACTGAGACTCTAAGATTGTAGTCATTACTACATTGACATAGAGTTGTTCAGAGCTGGTAATAAGTGCCACGGTGGGTGGACTAAATTCTTTCTCTGTTCTATTGCCTTTGGAAACTTTACCTTCATTAGGAGGGTGGTGAGGATGTTTGCTTTGGTAAACAATTGTGTATGTGTAAGCGCGTATTTTGAAATTTACTATCATTACTAGTAGTCATTTTCGTATGAGTATTTTGCATGGAGTCTCCAGGAGTGAAGGTGGGGAGGGCGGTGTGGGGTGAAAACAGAAAGTGTTTCTATCATATGGGGCTTTTAACTCCTAAAGTAGCTTCCTTAAATTTTGATTTTGTCAAGCGCTTTTCAGTTTGTCAGGTTCTTAATCTATTATGCCCATTATGGTCCTTGAGCAGTCATGATGAAGGACCCTAATCATAGCTTCAGTGACTCGTGTGTGGATAATGCTGGAACCTTTCCTACCTTTAAGACGGATGCGACCACAAGAACAGATTCGCTGTCCAGGTTCACTTTGTCCCCAGAATTTAGTTTCTCCTTTAGGACTCTGCATGATTTTATATTGGCTGATTTTCTGAAGATGCCTTCCGTGAGTGGCCCCTTTTGATTAATAAAGGAAAGCATATCCTGTAGGAAGAAAAGGAAAGTATATGGCGTCTCATATCCACAAACCCACAGCACAAGCTTGCCTCCGTTTTGAACGAGCGGGGGAATGTGATGGTACACCGTTTTAGAGCGGGAAGGACGAAAGTCAATCTGGATTTTTTTTTTTTTTTCAGTGTCTCTCTCTACATTTTCTACCCAAAAATCCATTTTACAGTCATACACTGAAACATTTTAAACACTTATTTTAATCAGATTTTCCTTTCCATTGAATTGACACTTTTAAATCAAACTTTTCTGCTTCAAGGCCTTTGTGGAATCGCCGTCTGTTTCCTACTTTCCCAATCTTTTCTCATTATTCCCTTACATAGATGCTCTTCCCCCAAGTATGGATGTCTATTTAGGAAATACTCATTTCCCATGTGTTTATTTCTCTTTAAGTGACTGTATACTCCATTCCTATTTCTTCTATTTCCTTCCCTCTTTTAAAATCAGGCTCAAAAACCCTCTTCTCCTTCTCTGATCACACTCCCTTCTCATGAGTCTTTCATTGTCTTTTGCTCTATCTTCATGTCCTCTCCCTGCTGTGTAGAAAGTCAATAAGGGCTGCAGTCAGGTAATGCAACGGAGCTGAAGTCTATTATGCTACTTATCTATTGTGTGAGCTGGGGCACAATCGTACTATACTGAGGCTTTTCTGATTCATTTGGGAAGTGCGGAGGTTCATAATCCTAGCTACCTCCTAAATTTGCTGTGATGCAAGGAACTGGGGTAGTAGCTAGCATGTCACGTGCTAGCGAATATGATACATTCCTTCATATCTAGCAGAACGTTCCCTACGTCCAGCACAGTGCTTGCAGAGATACCGAATACTCCGTGAATGTCAACACTGACAATTCAGTCCACCGGTTTGAGATAACACAGGCCAAACTCTGTGGCTTTCGTTTGACATATTCTGTTAGGATTAATGGATTCCTATTTGCCAGAGGATGCGTCCTGATGCTCGTGTCAGGTGTTTGCAGTTGTTAGACTGAGTAGACTCCGCTGAAGGAGACTTGAGACTAGTGTGAGTTCGGAAAGGCAGTGAAGGGAGAGTGGGAAGACGAGGAGGCCTCTCAGAGACTCACAGACCCAGAGTCCATTTTGACTGATCTGAACAGGCTTACGTGGGTCTTTGTGGAAACAAGGCACAAGTGGAATGGACCAGAATGCCCTTTCCGGTTGTGTGCACCTCATGACTCTGCAGTACCTAATCAGATTCCATTCTTTGAAATAACAGTAACAGAGCTTCTCAGCCAAAGCCAGGGGCTGTCTAATGACTTCTCCATTTGGGGATAGATTTGGATGAGGACACTTGGCCTCTCCGAGTTTCCCCTCCTCAGGAGCGCTAGAAAAGACCAAAATGAGATGACCTACCAGAACCGGGGTGGGCAGGTTGTCTTTATCACACACATCCATGAGGGAAACTCCAAAGAGCTGTCCTGGCTTTGCAGAAGGTGGGACTCTGCACTGGTTCCCCTGGCAAGTTCTGGAGCCCTTCTGAAAGGCCCAGGTTCCTAAGGCA